CCAGTCGATGGAGAGGCGCCATCGATCAGAAGCTAGCACAGAGAGGGAATCCCTCCGGTCGGACTGCCCAGTTGATAAGGAGACCTTGATGAGACAAGCCAAGGTAGAAAGCGGGGGAGGGAGGCTTGTCCCTGGAGCCGCGAGCTTAGCCAGCCTGTCATGGCATGCTCCTTGCGGCCTAAGTAAAGAGAGAGCGACCCGCCAGATCCCTTGGGCGCGCACACGAGTGAGAATTGCTGCTCGTTCGGCTCCACCTGGGCGGCGCCATGGGGCTCCACCACACTGTTCCTGTGCCCACACTTTCACGATGAACGCATCCTCGAGGTTGCGAAAATCGGAGAATCACCCGGTCGTATGATCCCTTTGCATCGATCCATGCTCTCCATACGAGCTTTTTCTCAAGAAAATAGATCTATACTTACCATTCCTTTCCTTTTTTTTCCTGGTTTGTTTGGAGGACAGAGTCTCCACTCTGTTTGCCCAAGCTGGGAGTGCAGTGGCATTGGTCTCGGCTCACTGCAACCCCTCTGTCCTCCAGGTTCAAAGTCAATTCTCGGCCTCCAGCCCCTAAGTAGCTTGGGATTTACAGAAATGCACACCCACCAGCACCTGGCTAATTTTTGTATTTTTTAAGAGACGGTTTCACCATGGATGGCCCAGGCTGGTCCTCTCCAACTCCTGGACCTCACAGTGATCCACCTGCCTTGGGCGAGTGCTAAAGTGCTGGAGCAGCCATGAGCCACCGTGGCAGTTCCCACACCCACGGAGCATTGCTCACTACTAGCGCAGTAGTCTGAGGTCCACCTGTGAGGCAGCAGCCTGGTGGAGGAAGGGGTGTTTGCCATCGCAGAGGCTTGAGTAGGTAAAGCAGCTGGAGAGCTCAAACTGGGCAGAGCCCATCACAGCTCAGCAAGGCCTACTGCCTCTACAGACGCCACCTCTGTGGGCAGGGCATAACTGAACAAAAGACAGCAGAAACTTCTGTAGACTTAAATGACCCTGACAGCTCTGAAGAGAGCAGTAGTTCTCCCTGCATGGCGTTTGAGCTCTGAGAACAGACAGACTGCCTCCTCAAGTGGGTCCCTGACCCCTGTGTAGCCTAAATGGGAGACACTTCCCAGTAGGGACCAACAGACACCTCATACAGGTGGGTGTCCCTCTGGGATGAAGCTTCCAGAGGAAGGATCAGGCAGCAATATTTGCTGTTCTGCAGCCTCTACTGGTGATACCCAGGCAAACAGGGTCTGGAGTGGACCTCCAGCAAACTCCAACAGATACGCAGCTGAGGGACCTGACTGCTAGAAAGAAAACTAACAAACAGCAAGGAGTAGCATCAGCATCAACAAAAAGGACATCCACACCAAAACTCCATCTGTAGGTCACCAACATGAAAGACCAAAGGTAGATAAAACCACAAAGATGGGGGGAAACTAGAGCAGAAAAGCTGAAAATTCTAAAAACCAGAGTGCCTCCTCTCCTCCAAAGGATCACAGCTCCTCGCCAGCAACAGAACAAAGCTGGAGGGAGAATGACTTTGATGAGCTGACAGAAGTAGGCTTCAGAAGGTCAGTAATAAACTTCTCTGAGCTAAAGGAGAACATTCTAACCCATTTCAAGGAAGCTAAAAGCCTTGAAAAAAGGTTGGATGAATGGCTAACTAGAATAAACAGTGTAGAGAGACCTTAAATGACCTAATAGAGCTGAAAGCCACAGCACAAGAACGTCGTGACACATGCACAAGCTTCAATAGCTGATTCGATCAAGTGGAAGAAGGGATATCAGTGATTGAAGATCAAATTAATGAAATAAAGTGAGAAAACAAAGTTAGAGAAAAAAAGAATAAAACGAACAAAGCCTTCAAGAAATATGGGACTATGTGAAAAGACCAAATCTATGCTTGATTGGTGTACCTGAAAGTGACAGGAAGAATGGAACCGAGCTGGAAAACACTCTTCAGCATATTATCTAGGAGAAGTTCCCCAATCTAGCAAGGCAGGCCAACATTCAAGTTCAGGAAATACAGAGAACACCACAAAGATATTCCTTGAGAAGAGCAACCTCAAGACACATAATTGTCAGATTCACCAAGGTTGAAATGAAGGAAAAAATGTTAAGGGCAGCCAGAGAGAAAGGTAAGGTTATCCACAAAGGGAATCCCATCAAACTAACAGCAGATCTCTCTCAGCAGAAACCTTACAAGCCAGAAGAGAATGGGGGCCAATATTCAACATTTTCAAAGAAAAGAATTTTCAGTGCAGAATTTCATATCCAGCCAAACCAAGCTTCATAAGTGAAGGAGAAATAAAATCCTTTACAGACAAGCAAATGCTGAGAGATTCTGTCACCACCAGGTCTGCCTTACAAGACCTCCTGAAGGAAGCACTAAACATAGAAAGGAACAATCGGTACCAGCCACTGCAAAAACATGCCAAATTGTAAAGACCATCGATGCTAGGAAGAAACTGCATCAACAAACGAGCAAAAAAACCAGCTAACATCATAATGACAGGATCAAATTCACACATAACAATATTAACCTTAAATGTAAATGGGCTAAACGCCCCAATTAAAAGACACAGAATGGCAAATTGGATAAAGAGTCAAGACCCATCCGTGTGCTGTATTCAGGAGAGCCATCTCATGTGCAGAGACACACATAGGCTCAAAATAAAGGGAGGGAAGAAGATCTACCAAGCAAATGGAAAACAAAAGAAAAGTAGGGGTTGCAAACCAAGTCTTTGATAAAACAGGCTTTAAACCAACGAAGATCAAAAGAGACAAAGAATACATATGTAACAAACTGCACGTTATGCACATGTACCCTAGAACTTAAAGTATAATAATAATAAAAAATTAAAATTAAAATTAAAAAAAAGAGACAAAGAAGGCCATTACATAATGGCAAAGGGATCAATTCAACAAGAAGAGCTAACTATCCCAAACATATATGCACACAATACAGGAGCACCCAGATTCATAAAGCAAGTCCTGAGACCTACAAAGAAACTTAGACTCCCACACAATAATAATGGGAGACTTTGACACCCCACTGTCAATATTAGACAGATCTCGTTGATAGATCAACGAGACACAAGGTTAACAAGGATATCCAGGAATTGAACTCAGCTCTGTACCAAGCAGATCTAATAGATATATTCAGAACTGTCCACCCCAAATCAACAGAATGTACATTCTTCTCAACACCACATCACACTTATTCTAAAATTGACCACATAATTGGAAGTAAAGCACTCCTCAGCAAATGTAAAAGAACAGAAATCACAACAAACTGTCTCTCAGACCACAGTGCCATCAGATTAGAACTCAGGATTAAGAAACTCATTTAAAACCACACAACTATGTGGAAACTGAACAACCTGCTCCTGAATGACTACTGGGTAAACAATGAAATGAAGACAGAAATAAAGATGTTCTTTGAAACCAATGAGAACAAAGACACAACATACCAGAATCTCTGGGACACATTTAAAGCAGTGTGTAGAGGGAAATTTATAGCACTAAATGCCCAAAAGAGAAAGCAGGGAAGATCTAAAATTGACACCCTAACATCACAATTAAAAGAACTAGAGAAGCAAAAGCAAATAAATTCAAAAGCTAGGAGAAGGCAAGAAATAACTAAAATCAGAGCAGAACTGAAGGAGACAGAGACACAAAAAACCCTTCGAAAAAATCAATGAATCCAGGAGTTGGATTTTTTAAAAGATCAACAAAATTGATAGACTGCTATCAAGACTAATAAAGAAGAAAAGAGAGAAGAATCAAATAGACCCAATAAAAATGATAAAGGGGACATCACCACCAATCCTACAGAATTACAAACTACCATCAGAGAATACTATAAGCACCTCTACCCAAATAAACTAGAAAATCTAGAAGAAATGGATAAATTCCTGGACATATACACCCTCCCAAGACTAAATCAGGAAGAAGTTGAATCTCTAAATAGACCAAGAACAGGCTCTGAAATTGAAGCAATAATTAAGAGCCTACCAACCAAAGAAAGTCCAGGACCAGACAGATTCACAGCTGAATTCTACAAGAGGTACAAAGAGGAGCTGGTACCATCCTTTCTGAAACTATTCCAAACAATAGAAAAAGATGGAATCTTCCCTAACTCATTTTATGAGGCCAGCATCATCCTGATACCAAAGCCTGGCAGAGACGCAAAAAAAAAAACGAGAATTTGAGACCAATATCCCTGATGAACATCAATGCGAAAATCCTCAATAAAATACCGGCAAACCAAATCCAGCAGCACATCAAAAAGCTTATCCACCATCATCAAGTCAGCTTCATCCCTGAGATGCAAGGCTGGTTCAACACATGCAAATCAATAAATGTAATCCATCACATAAACAGAACCAATGACAAAAACCACATGATTATCTCAATAGATGCAGAAAAAAAACTTTGACAAAATTCAACAGCCCTTCATGCTAAAAACTCTCAATAAACTAGGTATTGATGGAATGTATGTCAAAATAATAAGAGCTATTTATGACAAACCCACAGCCAATATCATACTGAATGGGCAAAAACTGGAAACATCCCCTTTGAAAACCGGCACAAGACAAGGATGCCCTCTCTCACCACTCCTATTCAACATAGTGTTGGAAGTTCTGGCCAGGGCAATCAGGCAAGAGAAAGAAATAAAGTGTATTCAATTAGGAAAAGGGGAAGTCAAATTGTCCCTGTTTGCAGATTTTAGAAACCCCTTCATCTCAGCCAAAATCTCCTTAAGCTCATAAGGAACTTCAGCAAAGTCTCAGGATACAAAATCAATGGGCAAAAATCACACAGCATTCCTATACACCAATAACAGACAAACAGAGAGTCAAATCATGAGTGAACTCCCATTCACAAATTGCTACAAAGAGAATAAAATACCTAGAAATCCAACTTACAAGGGATGTGAAGGACTCTCAAGGAGAACTGCAAACCACTGCTCAACGAAATAAAAGAGGACACAAACAAATGGAAGAATATTCCATGCTCACGGATAGGAAGAATCAATATCATGAAAATGGCCATACTGCCCAAGGTAATTTATAGAGTTAACGCCATCTCCATCAAGCTACCAATGACTTTCCTCACAGAATTGGAAAAAACTACTTTAAAGTTCATATGGAACCATAAAAGACCCCGCATTGGCAACACAATCCTAACCAAAAAGAACAAAGCTGAAGACATCATGCTACCTGACTTCAAACTATACTACAAGGCTACAGTAACCAAAACAGCATGGTACTGGTATTAAAACAGATATATAGACCAATGGAACAGAACACAGGCCTCAGAAGTAACACCACACATCTACAACCATCTGATCTCTGACAAACCTGACAAAAACAAGAAATGAGGAAAGGATTCCCTATTTAATAAATGGTGCTGGGAAAACTGGCTAGCCATATGTAGAAAGCTGAAACTGGATCCCTTCCTTACGCCTTATATAAAAATTATTTCAAGATGGATTAAAGATTTAAATGTTAGACCTAAAACCGTAAAAACCCTAGAAGAAAACCTAGGCAATACCATTCAGGACATAGGCATGGGCAAGGACTTCATGACTAAAACTCCAAAAGCAACGGCAACAAAAGCCCAAACAGACAAATGGAATCTAATTAAACTAAAGAGCTTCTGAACAGCAAAAGAAACTACCATCAGAGTGAACAGATAACCTACAGAATGGGAGAAAATTTTTGCAATCTATCCATCTGACAAAGGGCTAATATCCAGAATCTACAAAGAACTTAAACAAATTTACAAGAAAAAAACAACCCCATCAAAAAGTGGGCAAAGGATATGAACAGACACTTCACAAAAGAAGACATTTATGCAGCCAACAGACACATGAAAAAATGCTCATCATCACTGGTCATCAGAGAAATGCAAATCAAAACCACAATGAGATACCATCTCACGGCAGTTAGAATGGCAATCATCAAAAAGTCAGGAAACAACAGATGCTGGAGAGGATGTGGAGAAATAGGAATGCTTTTACAGTGTTGGTGGGAAAGTAAATTAGTTCAACCACTGTGGAAGACAGTGTGGTGATTCCTCAAGGATCTAGAACTAGAAATACCATTTGACCCAGAGATCCCATTACTGGGTATATATCCAAAAGATTATAAATCCTGCTACTATAAAGACACATGCACATGTATGTTTACTGCAGCACTATTCACAATAGCAAAGACTTGGAACCAACCCAAATGTCCATCAATGATAGACTGGATTAAGAAAATATGGCACATATACACCATGGATTACTATGCAGCCATAAAAAAGATGAGTTCATGTCCTTTGCAGGGACATGGATGAAGTTGGAAACCATCATTCTCAGCAAACTATCACAAGGACAGAAAACCAAACACCGCATGTTCTCACTCATAGGTGTGAATTGAACAATGAGGACACTTGGACACAGGGCAGGAAACATCACACACCAGGGCCTGTTGGGGGGTGGGGGGTCTGAGGGAGGGATAGCATTAGGAGAGATACCTAACGTAAATGACGAGTGTATGGGTGCAGCAAACCAAGATGGCACATGTGTACCTATGTAATAAACGTGCATGTTATGCACATGTACCCTAGAACTTAAAGTATAATAATAATAATAAAAAGAAAACCTAAAAAAAAAAGTCAGGGAAGACTATTTGTCAAAAATATTCATATTGTACAGTTGATTGAATAAAGAAAATCTGGTATATAGACATCATGGAATATACTATACAACCATACAAAAGAATGAAACCATATCTTTGCAGCAACATGGATGGAGCTGGAGGCCATTATCCTAAGTGAAATAACTCAGAAACAGAAAATCAAATACTGCATGGGAGCTAAACAATGGGTACACACGGACATTAAGATGAAAATAATAGACACTTGGGACTTCAAAATAGGGGAGATCACTAGGGGCGTAAGGGATGAAAAACTGCCTACTGGGTACAATGTTCATTATTTGGTTGATGGATTCACTGGAAACACAAACCTCACTATTATGCAATATATGCAGGTAACAAACCTGCACATGTATCCCCTAAAATAAAATTTAAAATGTCAATGTTGTAAAAGACAAAGAAATGTTCTAGGTTAAAGGAAGCTAAGGAGACACTGCAAATAAATCCAATACCTGACCCTAGACTGGAGTCTATGATGGGGGACAAGGATGTGTGGCACACAATGATGTTCTATAGGAAATTATTAGGTCAAAATTGACGAAACTGTAATATGGATTGTAGATTAGGTAAAAGTATTACATCAATGGAAATGTATGAAATTGATAACTTTACTGTGGATATGAATGAATAGCCTCTTATGTAAAAGACTATTCCTACTCCATACAGATATCTGAGATTATATATATATATACACACACACATATATATATGAGATATACATGTATGTATGAGATATATACATCCCCTTTGAGAGGAAAAGGAGACACCATAACTATGCCAGGACAACAGGTGCAAACCAGGACAGTCCTGGGCAAATCACACCTTGAGTCATTGGTGTCCTTTGCTAGGACAGTTTTGGTGGTGTACTGGGTGCAAAGCCCAGTGTGTGTGGGTTCAGGAGAGAATGGAAGGAGGGAAAGTGAAAATAGTGCATATGAACAACTGTTTCAAGAGGGTTTCTTAATGAAAGAATAATGAGAGAAGTTGGCAGAGGCAGGAGGCAAAGTGAGGTCCAGAGAGGGACTTTTTAAGATGGGAGAACTAGCAATGTGTGTGTGACAGGGAGGAACTGAAGTCAGGAGCATTATGGTTATTCCAGATCTCTACTTGAATGCCAAAGGAGGGACAGTGTCCTACTCTGAGTGGCTGAAGAATCTAAATCATGTCAGATATGGCTGTTTGACCTTCAAATATGAAAGGGATTCTAATTACCACTTGCTCATGTCTGTTCAAGAGAATTTAGCAAGAACGTTTGGAAAGCACAGTGGAACTATTCTCATTATACCCACAGCAGAGTTCCAAGACAGGATATCAGGTGCATCAGAGAAAGACACCATGCACGCTGACCTGGTGTACACAATGGAGAGTTCTGCCAGACAAATTATGTGCATAGCCATGAAGTTTAACCTGGGATTGGACACGAGGACCACCGTCTATGTCAACGCCATTAAGAAAGTCTTCAAAGTGTACAATGAAGCCAGTGTGACCTTCACGTAGATGGCTCGTGGGTGACTTCCTTGCTACCCTCTTCACCTGTAACTTCTGCAGACCTACCACTGGTTGACACATTGCCACAGAAATCCCCTTCTCTCCTGACTCATTAGATAATGGACACCATTCTTAACAAATCGATCCAAATCAGCCCCCTAAGGAGAAAGAAATTAAGGCTAGCGGATCATGTACAAGCTGATGAGTGTGAAAGTAGAAATCACCGACACCGGAGAGAGAAACATGTAGGTGTTTTGCCTCTACATAAAAAGTCTCTTTCATCTGGCTGTGCAGCCTTGCTCTGTGGCTCTTCCCAACACAGTCAGCAACTGTTGCCAGGCAAGGCACAGTCAAGAGCAATCAGATGCTTAAGTCTTTTGTTCTGGACAAGACTGGGACATGCTGTAACTTTTAACATATTTAGAAGTAGGTGTGTAGCATTTTCAGAAGGTGGCATGGTCCTCACATGAGTTATTGAAGCAAAATAACTCAATTTTATAGGATGCAAACAAAAATAAAAGCTGTTTCTGCTTATTAATTTTATTCTTTTGGAAAAAAAATAAGTAATGCTGCTGTAATAAAATTGCTTTTAATCTCTTAACAAGCCTAACCTTGATTCAAGCAGTGAATGCCTATAAACATAATACATTTTAAAAGCTAGTATTTTTATCTAATAAAAGAGTATCATTTAGAGCTTATTAGCCATGTATTGTTATCCAGCAAAAATAACAAGCCCTATGGAGAATTAAATTATCTTCATACCTACAAAAATGATGGAGGCTATTTCTGTGAAGACTGTCGGAGTTTGCTGACTATAATTATGACACACAGTCCAAAGAATGCAGTAACCTCCTTATAATGTTAACAAATTGTTCTCTTTTGAAGGTCTATGGTTGACTAATTGAACAATAATTCAAGTAGAATGTTCCAGAAGAAAAAAAAAAACAAAAACCCTTGGGTTCCCTGTTTGGAGATTGGCTGGCCCTGAGCATTGCTAATGGCCTCTACTCAGCCTGATTTTGTGTCCTCTTCTTTTAGAGTCTTTACATTCTGCACTCAGCTTCACAAACAATGGGTTGAAAACAACCTTGGGTTGAGTGTTTTGTTTGGGAATTATTTGGCCAGGTCCTTTTGAACAGTAGTGTTCCAGTCAAATGCTAGATAATAATACATGCAAAAATTAGCTTTAAAAAAACCTATAATGCCCTTTCAGAAATTTCTACTACTTTGTAACTGCATGACTTAACCTGGTAATAAAAGCAGTTATTAAAAGTCTACCTTACAAAAATAATCTTCTCATCTCTGTAAATCAACAGGGATGGAAAACAAACCTATACTGCCACCCAAAAGACAAAATAATTTACAGTATAGTAAAAGCGGCATTTTACATGGGGAAAAGGTACATTATTGAATGAATGATGTCAGAACAATTCAGCAAATGAAAAAATAAAGTGACAACACTACAAATTCCAGACTGATCAAATATTTAAGTTGAAAAGCTTACCCAAGAAAGTACTCCAATAAACCACTTAATAGTTTCGTTTTATAACCTCAGAAAAGGAAAGTCCTTTCTAAGCATAACATGAAAACCTAAACCATAAGAACATTTTGTGGCCAGGTGCTATGGCTCACGCCTGTAATTCCAGCTCTTTGGGAGGCTGAGGTGTGTGGCTCACGAAGTCAAGAGATCGAGACCATCCTGGCCAACATGGTGAAACCCTGTCTCTATGAAAAATACAAAAAAAAATTATCTGGGTGTGGTGGTTAGAGCCTATAGTCCCAGCTACTTGGGAGGCTAAGGCAAGAGAATTGCTTGAACCGGGAGGCGGAGGTTGCAGTGAGCCGAGATCTTACAACTGCACTCCAGCCTGGCAACAGAGTGAGACTCCATCTCAAAAAAAAAAAAAAGAACATTAAAAGAACATTTTGCATGGCAAAAACCATCATAAGCAGCAAAGTTGAAAGACAAATGATACACGGAAAAACAATATTTGTAACTCATATCTCAGACAAAATGTAAACTAACTTAATATATAAAGAGCTCCTGCCAACCAATTAGAAAAACAACAACATCATAGAAAATTGGGTAAAGTATAAGGAGACAATTCACAGAGAAGAAATCAGATGAAAAGTTACTCAATATCACCCATAATAGGATAAATGCAAAATACAAGTAAAATAAGTTATGTTTTGCCTTGTTTTATCCATCAAATTATCAGTAACAAAAAGACCAGCGGGGTGCCGTGGCTCACACCTGTAGTCCCAGCACTTTGGGATGCCTAGAAGGGTGGATCTCTTGAGGTCGGTCAGGAGTTTAAGAGTAGCCTGGCCAACATGGTGGAACCCCTTCTCTACTAAAAATATAAAATTAGCCAGGCATGGTAACGCACGCTTGTAATCCCAGCTACTCAGGAGACTGAGGCAGAAGAATCACTTGAACCCAGGAGACGAAGGTTGCAGTGAGCTGAGATCGCGCGCAATCCATTTGCACTCCAGCCTGGCCGACAGAGTGAAACTCTGCCTCAAAAAAAAGAAAAAAAAA